TATTATCTTTATTACTACAGGTCTTGCGAGGCAAAACAAAATACTATGCATCTGTTCAAGGTTCCATGCTGTACTTGGAGAAGGTAAAGTGAATTTTTGTAAAGAGAGTGTTGATGGGAGTTGATTGGTTTTTTTTGTGGTTTTTAAAAATTTATTTTTCAATTTTTGGAGGAGGAGGTTTTCTGTTATCTACCTCTGAAAACAATGCTGGTAGTTGGAGGGGTCTGTAGTAACTCCTACTTCTTTTTTTTTCTTTCGCTTTTTTTCTGCATTCCCATTTTGCATACTATCCTTATCACGAAATTTTAAAAATCTTGTTGACAAGCTTCCTTTTGCTCAATTAAACAGAAGGTGACCATGATGGGGTGGGTTTATGGTCTGTCATATATAGAAGCTCAAGTTCGAATCCTTGTAATTAGTCATTAATAATATAATGTGGATGGTTAGAGGGCACCGCTGGTAGTCCCTTCTTCTTTTCTTTTTTCTTGTTGTTCTTGTCAGTCTGTCATGCTTTTTCTTTTGCTCCAGATGACCATTAACATGGTTTCGATGCGCTTTTCTTCACTCAGATAAGCAAACAAAGTAATTATTTGTTGTTTTAAGGTCTGAATCATGATTTTCTTTTTTTCACGTCATTTCTGGAATATTTTACTTCAACTCCACTGTTCTAACAGGCGAACCAAGTTTCATTTCTCATTTCAAGTTTAAAAGGTATATCGTGTTAAGTTAGGGGGTATTAATTCAACAGCAGTAACAATTTCTGTCCCAGGGCTGTAAGAACACATGCACAGACGGAAAATGAACTGTAAGAAACAAATATATCATGATTGCTCATGGTTTGCTCAGTAGGTGTCATGCAGTGTTATTGTGCAGATGATGCTGGTTTGAATCTCTAATAGGGTTTACAAAGTAAAACCAAGCCATGTTTTGGACTAATGTGAAAACAGCCAACTCATGTCTTGCGCTTTCATATGAAATTGCACAGTTGGGAGCACTGTAAAACTCTTACCAAACAAACAAATTCACAAATTTTTTTTTCTTGAACTTGAGATGTTTTTGATTTTGAGTCATATAGGATCTTTTTTCAAGGTTTTCCGCCTACTGGTCTTAGATCTATAGGTGATGGATTTTAAATTCGGGGTCCTGCTTCTTAACACTTACAGTGCCAGCCTATTCTGAGACATGTTTTTCCCAGCGCCAAGCACTTTTTAGCATTTTGTGAACTTTAGGGGTTTATGATGAAAAAATTAATTAAAATAAAACTATTTGAGGTAGGACTCTGAAACTTTAGGATGTTGTTGGATAGTGAATGGACTACATCAGGTTCTAAAACATTCCATTCCCACTCAGTATTATCTGTCTGGTTTGCACCAGTAGGTCCATTGGTAGGACCACGCCCTCTATTACGAGGTGGTTCACGCCCATCATCTGCACCCCTTTCACCGACATCGTCACACCTACTAGATCCAGGTTTATCGTTGTCGTCATTTGACTCACAAATATCCTCTGGTTCTTTTTCAGAGTCACTGCTGTCATTGTCTGACTGTACGAAGTCAGAATTAGAGTCATTTTGGGTCATAGCTATGTCTGGTTCTTCATCCATTCTGAACACTCTTGCAACGTTGTGAAAACCCCCCGAAAAATTCACTTTCAAGGCCGAAATCTTACTCAATACAGCTTGGACTGGGCTGAAAACAGCAGGAAAGCTTCTTTCGTTTCCCCTCGAGTTCCGGTTGCTTCTAAATTTTAACTATACCAGTGTAAAGTGTTAAACAACTTCACACTGTTGAAAGGGTTGTCCTACCAATAAGGGGTGTGCGAGTCCAGTATTTTAGACTCAAGTCTGAGTAATTATGAAATATTTCAATAAGTTCTAGTACTCGAGCAAGTACTTGCAGAGACTAAATATGCGAGCATCGAAATTGGAGCAGACTCTAGTATTAGCACACCCTAGGACCCATTCCACATCACACCGCACCAGGTCACACCGCACCGCACCATGCCACATCACATCAAGCTTCACCATACCTCACTGGAGTTTGCAAATGATACATTTCTCCTGAGTTATTTGTATTTCTTCCAGGGTGGGGTGACAAACACATTGGAGTTGAGCGAGGCTCAACAGGTGCGGAAGATGACTGATGACTTAAGCGGGACACAACTGGAGATTTGCTGGTCAAAGAAAAAGACCAAGACCATCTTTGTAAGATTTTTGTTTTTGTTTTTCCTTCCTCCTGTCTTTATTTACTTTAGCATTATTTGTCGTAAATACTTTTATTTTCATTATCTCTAGCTAGTACCCCCCCCTCGAGTAGCCACTGTCTTACCAGCAGTTGAATCTATTTATAACACAATAACAATGTAGGCCTACAGCTCTTTGTATGACACAGGCCTTGCTTAACAACACATTAGCTTACACCCTCTGACCTGCTGCACTTACAGTCTATCTGTAAGAACCAACATAATATGTGACATGCTAGACACAGTTGGGTGTAGAAGGGATGCCAGTGAATTCGGCTCACAGTTGTGGACAGGTCAAATAGTGAATATGAGAGTTGAAGGCGGTCTGTGCTGGTGGGCTGTGGACGGATGCTCTAAGACTACAGAACACTCAAAGAATAAATTTACGTGTGAATGTAATGAAATGCTCTGCCGGTACGAGCTCGAACATAGTATGACAATGGGCTCCTGCAGTGGCTAATTTCATACATTAGTGGGGGCTTGCCCTGTCCTGTTAAAGCGAATCTCTCCCTCCTCCCCCCCTCCCCCCCTCCCCCCACTTTTCAAATCTGAATGACACAAATCC